TTTTTGCAGTAAATCCAAGGTATTAACTTTTTGGAGTACCACTTCTCAACAAAAGGCCTGAATTTTTGCAGTAAATCCAAGGTATTAACTTTTTGGAGTACCCCACACCTCCTTTGAAGGAAAGTTCCCTGCAAAGTTATAAGTCTGAAGCAAAATATTGTAGAAAGAAGAGCAATTGAAAAAACCAGAAGGGGACGGTTTCCAAATTCTGCTATCCCTACAAGACTGATCTAGAAAGATTGCCCCTAACTGAGTAATTATATTATCAACCATCCCCATTTCTGAATCCCTTGGACCTCTTCTCAAGCCTAAGTCTCAGGAATTATCAACAAGCACTGATGAGATTGCTTTTCTTTTGTTTTCTGACAAGGAGTAAACAGAAGGGAATCTATCTCTAAGGGAGTGCAACTTGGGATCAATATTGTTGAGTTTGCTGTTGTGTTGTCAAGTAGGCTTAGGGGTGCAACTTGGGTTGGCTCGAGTTAGCATTTTACACAGTTCCAGTCTATTCAAATTTTGACAAAATCCCAACATGAGCCCATCCGAGTTGCACCCCTAGGTAGGCTCCCTTCTATCCAAATTTCTGGGGCTCTTGTTGGGTGCTCATTGTAGGGATAAGGAGATTTGGGATCAGTAAGAGAGAGGATCGGGCATAAGTTAGTAGGTTGTAAGAGAGATGCCCCATCCAAAGAGGGGAAGATCATTCTTATTCGAATTGCATTATAAAATCTCTTTACCTATTTCATGTCCTTATTCAAGGCTATAGCCTTAGTCATTCATACGTGGAGAAGAAATTTTCTATGGGATGGAAGAGAAAATTTGAAGTTCCACCTAGTAGCATGGCCAAAACAGCATTTTAAACGTGAAAGGCACAAAAAAAAAGCATCAAGGGCTTTTTGCACCCAAGGCGCAAGCCCTTTTGAAGGAAGGCGCAATTTTTTAAAAAAATTCAAAATAAATAAAAAATTAAAAAGGATATTAATTAAAAAATGCAGACTTATTTTAAACTAAATGTTTTTAAAAGCCTATTAGCTCAAATTAAAATACTTAAAGATAACATATAAAACATATTAAAAGTGAAAATGCAAAAATAAAATTAAACAAAACATATAAGCAATTCAAGCATGTCAAACTGTCAACTTCTTTATTTCTTTCCCAACCACATTACTTCAAATAGCTAATTTGATGTTAAATATCTTTGATTCATAATTCTATGAGCCACCTTTGTATCAAGTTCATGCTAAGATGCTAAGGTCTTAAATTCTTAATTCATGCATAAGAAATGGTTTTGCAATTTTATTTATAGTTTCTTATCTTTTAAAAGTTATCTTGTATTAAGAAGAATAACATTAGCAAAAAGGTTGCTCACTCACTGAAGCTTTGAACCCCCTTTTTTGCTAATGTTGTTTATTCATTCTTCTTAATACAAAACAAATTTTAAAAGATAAGGAACTATAATTAAATTAGAAAACCATTTCTTATGTATAGATTAAGAATTTAAGACCCTAGTATGAACTTGTTTGGGCTTGCCTCAAGGGGCTTGGTTGGGGGGGTCTGGGGGGCCCAGCCACCATACTTTAAAAGGTACAAGAAAGCGCAAAAATTTAATTGAGGTGCAATAGGTGTACACTTTTTCAAAGGGGCTATGCCTGGGCCTAGGTGAGGCATAGGCCTTTGAGATGTGTCTTGCCTGTAGGCATGCCTTTTAAATCCCTGGGCCAGAAGTGTGTAAATCAAAAGGAGATACTGATATTTGGCCTCTGAAACAAATCAACATAGCTCTTCTATCAAAATGGTTATGGCAGTTTGGATCAGAAGGGACTGAATTGTGGAGAAAATTGCTGCAAGTATGGTGAAGCAGGCCTTGGTTGGGAAACAAACCCAGTGAATGACTCTTATGGATCAAGTGTGTGAAAAGGTGTAATTCTTTAAAGAGAGTTTCTTTAAGTTCTTTTCTTTTAAGATTGGTAATGGGGAGAATATCTATTTGTGGAAGGATTGGTGGTGTGGTGACAGGCTGCTTTTCCAAGCTTTCCCAAACATTTTTGTTTTTTCTGAAAATAAGCAAGAAGATGTTAGTGAATGCTAGGAGATGATTGCATGTCAGCCAATTTGGGTCCCCTGGCTGAGAAGGTATGTTAATATTAGGTTGGGATGTGGAACCACTTACTGCAATTGTGCAGTTAGTGGAAGAAGGTGAAACCTCAACCAGTGTATGCTGATCAACTTTGGTGGACTGGATATAAATCCAGTCACTTCTCTGTAAAATCAATGATCTTAGTAATTCTGATGGAGAGACACTCTCTTGGAGCTGTATGGGCCCATAAAGTCCCTGCTAAGGTCTATTTTTTTCCCTGTGGACAGAAATCAAAGGAAAGTTCCCCACTGCTGGTGTCTTGATATCTAAAGAATGGTGATTCTGTAGGATGTCAAAATGCACTGGAAAACGAAATTTAAATCCTTGCCAAAATTGCAAATCTATGGCTCTTTGCCTTCTGCATATGGTAGATTGTTGAATCACTGTTTGGCTTTTTCTATTTTGTTTCTAACTCGTCTTTCTTTTTTGTGTTGTTTAACTTAATTTAGGGCTGAGGCTCTTTGAAAAGTGTTGTTAAACAATAGCTATTTATGCATTCCATAAGTATTAAATTCATATCTTTGGTAACATAACTAGTTTTGCACTTGACTGGTATTGCATTCTTATTTTTGGTAACAAGGGATTCCTTTCTGTTCCACCTCCTTAAATGCAAGAGAAGCAAAGACATTTTCACATTGGAATATTTCTAATTTTGTCCTTTTGTAAGGAGCTTGTTCAAGTTAGGGATTCCTTTCCTAGCCTTGACCATAAGTAATGATGCATCTCTCTTTTGAAGGACCTTAGTTTTGACATCTCCAACTAGTTGTTTGGAGATGAGAGATTCTTCTTTTGGTGGTGAGGTTCTACCTTTCCTCTTCTCTGGTTGGTGAGACTTTAACCAGGGGATTGGAATCTAGCAGTGAGACCGCCTATTGTACTTTTTCTTCCTTGATTCATTATGTTTCTTTTTTGTCAACCACCACTGAAGCAATCTTCTTTTTCATTTCAAAGAAAAAAAAAGGAAACATTGAAGCAATTTCATTATGATCCCTCTAACATGAAGCCTTAGTCATATCTGAGTATTTCTTTTAAATCTGATGTATACACTTCTCAGAGAATAATCACAGGGCTCGCTCAGTAAAAATTTTCTCAAAGGAATCCCAATTATTATGGTATTACTATGTTTCTTTTTCTGATTAATGTCATTGTATTTCTATACTCATTTGTTTTTTTTTTTTCTTTTTTTTGGTCCAACAATCATCTGATAAAGAGGTATAGGAAAGGGTAGAGAAATTATGTCGCCATTCTATGATTGAATTCTTGTCAATTGTTCTGTTGGAATCATTCCCTTGGGTCATATAGAGAGGGATTGTTTCAACACAAAGGCACTGTTCTTACTGCCTTCTGAAGTTGTTGATGTCAATATTGTGGTTCTTATGTGCGCATATAGTTGAAAGCTATGGACTGGCCATCAATAATTCAACATTTTTCAAAAAGGGAAAATCTATGATAGTGGAAAGACATGGTATTGGAAGAGCTCTGACCAATCAAAGCACCCCTGTGAATTTTGATGAGCACCACAGATTGGTCATCTCTTTTTATGATAATAGTTGATTGGCTCTAAGTTTTTCTGGTATCATGTCTTTCCGATATCATAGTTGAACCCTTTCAAAAGTTCAAATAGATTAGGTGCTGTTTTTTTAGATCAGTAATATAGATTGGGTACTTACATTGGTATGTTTACTTTAGATTCATGCTAAATTTATATCACCATGAACCATAAATTAGTAGTGCTGGCCAGTAATACAAAAGCAAATTCATTCCTGTAAACTCTGGTAAGATTCTGTTAATGGTGCCCATTGTTCTAGTTGGCAATAGAAACCCTTTCATCTTTGTTGGCAATGGTTTATGCATTTCCTTTGAGATAGAAGTTGGTGTCTAATTTCAAACTTAACCAAATTGAATGGTTTTCAACTGTTGACTTCGGTGTTGTTTTTTCTAGGGCCTGTACATGGGGACAATGATTAAGAAGGGAAGTGGGGGGGTTGACTTCTTTCCCAAAATTTTCTCCTATGCTCCATATCCTTCAATCGTATTCGATGAGTATTTCAACGCCATTTGAGAAGGAGACTGATGCACTGAAGATTTGGAACAGAAAGCTTGGAAGTTTGAGGTTCTGGAGGTTTTTTGATGTGGACTCTGATTTTTATCTACTACTCTGCTTTTGAGTTTTAATAAAAGAGTGTATGTGCTGAATTTATCAGTCGTCTGAAAAATTCAAAATGCCAATTCAGAATGGTTTGTCTCTGAAGGACTCTTATTGAGTTGATTTACTCGTACGCTTGGCGACCTTCTCCCTTGGGATATTTGATTTTCATCTGTGATAATTTAAGAGTAGTTTTCTGGTCAGTAATTTTAGGAAGTGGAAAAATGTACTATATACATTTTCATGCAAGTCTTACCGAGTTATCTCGAGCCTTATTTTTGAAAGATAATAAACTGGTTTTCATCTGGTAGTCAATTGAAGATCAGGGCCAATAAATTGAAGGGATGGCAATTGGCATCACCGTGGGAATCTTCATTATCTATTTGGAGTTTTGAACTTACCACTCCAACAAAGTGGTTTGGCGTGGCTGAAGACAAACATGTTTCAGCTTTCAGGAGATGCCAGCACTTCTTAGTGGGGTTGTTCCAAGGTGTCTGGTCAGACTATTCAAGATCTCCTCTTAGAGAACAGAAATGGGTATAACTATTTTAACCATGTAGACATGAAATTTCTTGGGTACCGTCATTGTTGCCCAACTTGTTAACCAAGTAATTGGTAGGAAGGCTTCGTATTTCTTCTATATCTAGTTAGGACTTGTGTGGTTGTGTTGCATTGCATATGATGGGTGGGTGATGTATAAACATGTCAAATCGTTTCGTTCCTTATTGGTGGAGTTGGAGATCATTATTACTGGGAGAGCTAGGAGTTGTGATAATCAACATTCAACAGGGCCGCGAGACTTCCATATGCGCAAAATTTGAAAATATTGAATCTGTAAAGGGAGCGTTTTCGAATGTTAATTGTTTTAACTGCCAGTCCTAAATAAAAGGTTGATGGAATCATGGAAGTGGAGGGGCTCACCACTGAACCCCTGAGAGTGTGGGCGATGGAGATCGCTAGTCCCTAGTCTTGTAGACATTGGACCTTGCAGTCAGGTGGATCTTGCAGGTATAAGATTTCGTGGGACTCCGGACTTGCAGTAGCCTGGTATCGCGGGTTCATCTCCAGCTAGAATTTGTTGATTTTAGGATTGCTGATCTCACTCGAGTGGTCTTGCATAAGGTGCGAGATCAGTTGTTGCATCTTATGGAGACCATTTCATTAGGGTTTTTCCTCTACAAAATATTCGTGTATTCTTGCATGGAAGTCATTTTGTACCTTGTATGTTGGGAGCTTGGGTTTTGATGAGAGACTATGAACACTGTAATTGTAAATTTCCATCACTCGTAGTGGATTTATTCTCTTTGACGCCATGGACATAGGCAATAAGTTGAGCCACATAAATCGCTGTATGCTTTGTTTTGTGGTTTGTTCTTCTATTTTCTCTATTTACCAACCCTTTTTATTATTTTTTTTAAAACCAGTTCAGAGGAGTCGGTTTAAGTCGACTACCCTCTAAATCATGGTCTGACCCAATACAACCCCTGGAGGGGCATATCGGGAAGCCATCGGTACAATATGTATCAGCCGATACGGACTGATATGTGGCGATACTTTCAACCTTGGTTCCAATGGTTAAATAGCCTAAATCCATCCTAGTTTTAGAGATATTCCTATTACATTACATGAACTGAGATGATTTACTTATATCTATATTTATTGAAGATAATACATATGTAGGATCATCAGAATTTATATAAATTATTGATTGGTGGGTCGTATTGAGCACTGCACAATGCACCCTCCTATCAATTTGGTACCAGGGGTGCAATTTGGATCGGATTGAGTTGGGAATTTGTTAAAAATTCAACAAGCCCAAACCCTAACCTGAGCTTAATGTAGTTGAAATTTTTTAGGACGAGAAAATCCCACTTGCAGCCCATGTTTCTTCGAGAAATTAGAAGTTTAAGTTATCTCTTGGCCCTAGTGCTGGCAATCCAGCTTAGGGTAGACCCGGTTCCAAACCAGTTCTAAACCAGGCTCCATGTAACCGGCCCAATTATTAATTCATCCATGCATATACTTTTGAGGGTAAATTTCTTAAACTACCCTTATGGTTTAGTTAATTGACTAAGTGTACCCTTACTGTTTGAAAATTGACTAATGCTACCCTTACTGTTTCTGACAATTGATTAACTCTACCCTTACCGTTAGTTAATATTCCGTCAAAACCCATAAACACGTGACACCACGTGACGTTTAAAATTTTTTAAAACTCAATGCTATCCTTTCCCCTTCCTCTCGACCTAGCACACCCTTCCTCCTCCGACTTCTCTCTCTTCCCTCTATCTTCCTCCTATAGTCTCCATCAACACCAGATCACCGGAGAGAACTTCACCGTATCCGCACTGTATAAAAGAACTAAAAAAAACCAAAAAAAAGTAAAGCATATGTTGATCTTTTCACAATTAAGAACAAAAAAATGAATAAAAGAAAATTAAAACAGAGAACGAGTGAGCCGAATAGGGGCGTCAGCAGCGGCAACTGAAGTGGTATGAGCGAACTGAACAGGGGTGATGACAACGACAACTCCCTTTAAACTCCAATCTCTCTCTCTCTCTCTCTCTTCTTCCTTTGGGCGACGGTGATGGCAACCCCCTCTGAACTCCCATCTCTTTCTCTCTCTATTCTTCCTCTAGGTGACGGTGACGATAACCCCCTTTGAACTCCAATCTCTCTTTCTCTCTCTTATTCCTCTGGGCAACGGCGGCAGCAACCTCTTTGAAATTCGATTTCTCTCTCTCCCTCTCTCTTCTTCCTCTGGGTGACGACAATAGCATCTGAACTCCGATCTCTCTCTCTTCTTCCTCTAGGCGAGCGGCGACACTACCCTGTAACTCCACCCATTGGCGGGTGGGTGGAGTAGAAACTATTGGAGAGAGAAAGAGGTAGAGTAGAAATTTACCATAAGGGTAGAGAGAAGAGGTAGAGTAGAAACTAGAAAGATATGTGTAACTCCACCTGCTGCCCTATAACTCCACCTAGCGGCGACAACATCTGAACTTCGAAGGGTAGTTTAGGCATTGTGCATTTTTTGACAGAGGTTAACGGTAAGAAAAGAGTTGGTCAATTGTTAGAAACAGGAGGGGTAGCATCAGTTAATTTTCTAAAGTAAGGGTATAGTTAGTCAATTAGCTAAATCATAGGGTAGTTTAAAAAATTTACCCTACTTTTTAACTTGTAATGGAGGGATAGACCTACTCACTATTGAAAATTATACATCCAAATTGATAATATTTAGGGCAAGCTTTTTAAATTACCCCTACTATTTAGCTAATTGACTAACTATACCCTTATTGTTTAATTATTGTCTTGACATCGTTATTAAGTGCTAATAGAAAAAAAAAACAAAATATCAAATTTATCCTCCATTATTGCAGAAATTTTCAAAATAAAACCCAAATTTTAGAAGCAAATCGCTTTTCTCTCTTCATCTCTATCTCCGTCATTGTATTCGTTTCCGTTTCCGTTTCCATCTCTAGCGAGTTTCCTCACCTCTCTCTCTCTCTTCTTCTTCTTCTTCTTCTTCTTCTTCTTCTTCTTCTTCTTCTTCTTCTTCTTCTTCTCTTCTCATAGTTTCCATCCCCCCTGTCATCGCTGAACCAGTGGCGGTGACTTCGTTCTTCCTCTTTTTCGCTTCATTAACTGGTTTCTTCTAGGCAACTCCGTTAACAGGTTTTGGATCCTGGAGGAGGTTAGACAATGATGGCGAGGATTTCAACAATGTTGCGGCTTTGTTAACGGGTTTTTCCCTACGGTTCAGGTTCAACAACCAAGCTTCTCCTTTCTGAAACACTCGATTTTCCTAAGATAAAGGTACCCAAGGAGATATATATTTTTGGGGTCATAGTCCATGCATCAAAAGTAAGAAAAAGAACACATAAAAGATCCCAATCTTTCACTGGTCATCATCTTTCCCACTGCAACACTGAATAGAGTGCGGCGACCCCTCTTCTTCAACTCTTCAACACTCTTTCTCTCTCATTATCTCCTTTTTCCTCCCCTTCTTCCTTTTTTTTCTTTTCCTTTTTCGTCTTCTTTTTTTCTTTTTCTTCTTCCTTCCCCTGTTCTATCACCGCCACTACAACAAGTTGCAGCGGTAGAATGGAATGCATCCCCTCTTTCTCCGATCTCCCATTCTCTCTCTCTCTCTCTCTTCTCCTTCCCTTTCATTCTCTCTCCCACTCATTCGTTTTTTATTGTTAAAATGCTTTGCCTACACAATTTTCAGTTTTGTCGGCTGAGCACAGAAGACTGTAGCAGACAAAGAAACAATACATTATATCTGGTTTTCGAATTCAATTAAAACATTGCTCCTGATATTAGTTTTTCTCCATTTTGGAAAATATTGGGTTCTCTAGTTTCTTATGCAGATCTAATCTATATGGAAAGTACATTATAACAAAGATTTTGTTTTTTCTTAGATTATGATCTCAATATTTCCATCTTTTTCACTTAATTCATTTGTTTGGTTGTAATCCTAAAGGGTTCACATTTACTTATTTTTAGAGAAAGTAGGAAACTATGCATAGCCACCGCCTCCTAGTTGTGCCTTTCAGGATTCAAAAGAGTTGCAAAGAACTTGAGTCCAGCTTTCTCGCCTTGCAGAGGCAGGCGGCCATAGATACTAAAGACCTTTAATCTCACTAATTTGTTCTTCCGATTCTCAGCTTCAAGAGAATAGTGCCACCACGATACTAAATCTTTGTGCGATAAGAATAAGGATCTAATTACTGCGTTGGGAGCAATTAAGCCCCTGCAAGGAGCTCTCGAGACTGGAACTGCGACCATGAAGGAGAACGCTGCGTATGCTCTACTTTGGTTTTATTGCCTGAAAAGCCACCGACTGCACCCGGAATTGAAAATTTTCATCAATGTGAGTTGCGAAAAGACTGTGGCCGATGACCCTCCGATTCCATCTCTCTCTCTCCCGTGTGTCTCCTCTCCCTCCTTGAAACGCTAGATCTGAAAACTGGCGTAACAGATTTGCCTACGGGCGGTGATTTTTACCTAGATTACATAAGAATGACCAAAGGTAATATTGGGTTTTGTTGAAAAGTTAGAGTGGTAATTTTGTAATTTTCTTTTATATTTTATATTTTATCTTGTTGCTTTGGGAGTTGGAAACAGTGTAAAACTAAAATTCTTTATATATCTTGTAATCTGAAATATTTTGTAATAGAGTTCAATAAGCTAAGAACGAAGTAAACTTAGAATTCTACGTGGGCTTTTCATATTCTTCTCTTCTTCTCTTTATTCTATATTCCTCTTCTCTTTTACAGATTTTTTTTTGGGTTCTTCCTTTGATTTTTACCACCACACTTTCATTGCTCCAATAAACTTTTGATATCAAAGAAAAGATCCTTTCAACCATTCAAATATAAAACTAAAACCTTTCATAGCATCAAGTTCCAACAGCTTTGTTTTAGATCATTTTAAAAAATTTTTACTTCCTATTTTTTATGGAGAAAACTATGACTATTGGAGCATACAGGTGAAAACATTTTTCATCTCAAAGGAGATTTGGGAGCTGGTAGAAGAAGGATATGAAGAACCAGAAAATCGTGAATAACTTGCAACATGGACTGAAGACAAGAAGGAGTACAAAGAAAATAGGAAAGATGATGCTAGAGCCCTGTACCATATTCAGCAAGCAGTAAGTAAAACAATCTTTCCAAGAATCATGACTAGACCTCCTGACCCCCGGACGGGCTTGAACATGCTTATAGGCCCGCGGGCTTAAATTCGGGCCAAAAAGCCCGGCCCGCAATAAATTCGAGCCGGGCTCGGGTTTTGTCAAAATAGCCCAGCCCGGCTCAACCTAATATTAAACTTAAAATTAGTTATGTGATTATGTCCATTTGAATAAAATTTTTTGATTTAAGAATGTAAAATTGTGTTTTAAAATATAAAAGAAAGGGAAAAATACCATATTGTAGGCCCATTGTTCATTTAAATAGAAAAAAATACTATATGAATTTTTAATTCTAATTTGAATAGGGAAAATTGTTTTTTTTTTTTCAATTAGGTCGGGCTTCGGGCTTGGGTTTCGGGCTTTTTACCAAGGCCGGGCTTGGGCCCAAATTATAGGCCCGTTGGTCGGGTTGGGCTCGGGCTCGGGCCTAGTATATTTTCATTAGTGACAAGTGAAAGCCCGACCTGACCCGGCCCATGAACAGGTCTAATCATGACTGGCAAAAGCTCAAAAGAAGCATGGGATATTCTCAAGAAAGAGTTTCAGGGCACCAAAAAGGTAATATCCATAAAACTTCAAACTCTTTGGAGAGATTATGATGAAAGAAAGTGAATCTGTTCAAGAGTTCTTTTCTAGAGTTGTTGGTATTGTAAATCAAATAAGGACATATGGAGATGTTATTTCAGATAAAAAAATTATAAAAATGGTTTTGAGGAGCTTACCAGTTAAGTTTGATCATGTGGTGGCTGCCATTGAAGAAGCCAAAGATTTGACTAAACTATCCATGCATGAATTAATGAGCTCACCTAAAACTCATGAGGATAGAATAAAAAAAATTTCATCTTCTTCATTGGAGCAAACTTTTCAGTCCAAACTCACCATTTAAAAAAAAAAAGAATGATGGTGAAAAAGAAACTCCAAGAGAATGGTCACATCAAGGTAGAGGAAGAGGATACCAAAATAATGGAAGCGAACGAGGAAGAGGTAGATTATATGGAATAGGAAGAGGTGAAAAACAAAGCAATTGTTGTTTTATTTGTAAGAAAGACAACCATTTGCCCCAAGACTGTTATTTATAATTAAAATTTTTTATTTATTTTAAAAAATATTATTATCTGAAAAACATTTTCGGGATTCGGGCCCTCATAGGGAACCCATCCCCATCGAGAATCAGGGATGGGGGTTAATTTCAGAATCAGGGTTGGGGATGGGGAATATGATCCCCACCCCATTGCCATTCCTGCACACCTTATAGTTTTACATATTTACTTAAACCTACCTTATAGTTTTCATTTTACTAAAACATCCCATGTATTTTACAACTTATTTACTTAATCAACATTTCATTAAGGAATGTTTGTTTTGCCAAGGCCATGATGTTTTATTCTAAAAATACCCATAATATTTTTTTTTGTATAAAAAGCAAAATTGATATATATATATATCTATTAAGTTAAAATGTATATGGTAAGAGGCTTGAGAATGCAGCAAAGGGAATCTAAAAGCCCAGATCCTTCTGAGTGAGGAGATTGATATGTTGGTTCTCTTGATCTGATTCACTTTAAGCAACGCCTATATGGATGGGGGGCTTTGGGATCATAAGAGTAAGACGTATGCTTCTCTCAAATTTTTTGTTGTTGTTGGTTTGATGCTTCCATGAATTCTGAATTTCTGTTTTACTTTTTTTTTTGTTGTTGTAATTTGTTGACCTTTTCTTTCTGGACGATATTCTGTCAATGCTAATTCTGAGGGACCTTATTGTTATTTAACCCCTTTCTGCAATTTCCGTGTATAATTTCCATCTTATATGTTTAGGGGCTGTGGAAAAGGGTGGGATTTGGCTATTCACCATGAGTTTGCTTACGGGAAGTTGATGCATTTTTATTTTTGAAGAAGGTAAAGTATATTCATTCAATCAAAAAGAGAACTCATGTGCATTGAGGATCTGTACAATGGGAATTTACATGAAGGCCTTTGATTTACAGAAAGAGATTATTCATAATAAAAAAAACATAGGACTTTACTTAAACAGTCTATGCACACCAACCTAAGACAAAATTCTCCCATTAGAATAGCTTTTAGCTTATCTTCAGATTCGAACTTATTTAAAATTCTTGAATTTCTCTCTGATCAAATAATCCATATTACAGCATTAACAGTGGTYTTCCACACAATATAGCCTTCTTTACTCAATCCTTTCAGTTGCCAGCTCCTGAAAAAAATTAATGACAGATATTGGATTGCAGTCACTCATGCCAAACAGCTTTTTATCCCAGACCAGCAGTACTTCTCAAGAGGAATGCCCCCTCCAAAAAAGAAAAGCTTGAACAGCATGGACAAAGTATACAACTTATGCAATGTAGAAAATCTCGTTAGAATTTGTTCTTCAAAGGCACAGTCCCAATCAAGCTCATTGGCTACTGAGTATGMTGACCATGCAATCCAATTGCATGAAATATTCATGCCCTTCTCGTATGCTGTCTAAATCTTTATGAATCATCACAATCATCCCTTATCCATCTGGTGACTACTTGAGAGTCTCCATTCACCTCAATCTCTTCAAATCTCACTGTCCATTGACTTTATGAGAAAGCTAGACTATAAGTGAATGATTTAGCTGAGATTTTCAAATAGTTACTAATCATAGAGATAACAAACAGAGTTTAATTCTGAATGCAGAAATATCCAGACTTTCTGAGAAAGCTAGCACATAGAGTACAAGTGAATGACTAGTAGTTAACCCATCCTTTAACCTCTTGACTAGAAAGACTATAAGTGAATGATTTAGCTGATCTTGGTATCAATCTAAACATGATTTTCTCTGCACATCTCTAACCACTTCATGCACACTGATATTGCCATTCTCTAACCACTAGTAGTTAACCCATCCTAACCACTAGTAGTTAACCCATCCTTTTCGTCTTGTTTGTATAATGAATGTTCTGCTCTCTACACACTTCATGCACAGTACTCTTTTATAAATCTTCTAAAGAAAATCTTTGAGTCAGTAGAAGATGGACTGATCTCTTTTGGCATTTCGTGAATTTGATATTTTTTTTCATTTAGGTGTAAGAGAGGAAGGCTTGCTACATATGCATTGGTATTTTCATGTATATACTGCAAATCTGGGAGCCTTGAGTTGATTCAATTGAAATTTTAAACAGTGGACAAAATTGCAAGCTTGTCATGCTTTACTGCTTTTTAAGATACAAATTGAAAAATTTTTATGAATATGAAAATAAGTGCTCTCCACGTGGCAATAATTGAGGTTTTGTACTGTTAGATTGGAATTTCCAGGTCTCAATTCAGTGATTTAGTCTATCCAGAAAATTGAAAAACTAAATATTACCAGTCAACTTTTGATACTTTTCTTTTTGCTTGTCAATTTCTTATCTACAATTTTGCATTATGATCGATGAAAAAATAGAAATTCACAGAGATTCAAATGTTTGAATTAATATGGATTTGTTTCTTCTGCATGCAGATATTTTAATTCATTGCAGAGTGAGTGCTTCTCTGGATGTTATCTCTCTGACATAAACATGGTCATTTCAGCACCAACTGGTAGTGGTAAAACAGTCTTATTTGAACTGTGCATTTTGAGGCTTCTCTCAAGTTACTCTCAAAGGAAGGAGAGTTCATTCATATAAAGGGAACTCTCAAAACAGTACGTTAACTACCTCTACATTCCTTAAGACTTAAACGTCCATAATCAAGCCCTTTTTCAATCAAGTTTTTCATTTAAGAGTTGTTGATATTTTATTCTATTGATTCTGATCATGTCTAAACTAAATGTTCTCAAGGCAACTCTAAATCGAAATTTTGGTGCTTTTAGCCATATTATATGTCGATAGCTGATCTTGATTAACATTTAGTACCTTCTAATTGACATAGAACAGTTTACATCTTGAGTCTTTGAACGTGCATGCTTTAGGGGAAATCTATGCCTTTCTGACTGGTATTTTATTTCATTGGTAAAATATATTCCCTTACAAAGACTGACACCTTCTTTCATTTGCTTGAATGTTGCAAAAATATATATATATATATATATATATATATATATATATAGCTCCATCAAAGGCCTTGGTACAAGAGAAGCTCTGGGATTGAAACTAGAAGCTTGGTTCATGGGCGGTCAATTGTATGGAGCTTATAGGTGACAGTGATTCTTATAACATAAGAAATATACAAGTAGATATTATTCTAACTACTCCTGAGGTAAATAATTGGGGATTTTTCTCTTTTTTCCCAACTTACTGAATTCAAATAGACACTGATTCAATTTGATAACATCTGGTTTGATTCGATTGTATAATGTATATGTATCAATTATTTATTTAGTTTAATTTATTGATTTTCAATTTGATAGGTCAGCTTTTTTGATAGGATAGCTGTACTTATTTTGTTATACATAGATAGTTTTGGACTTTTGACGAATAGTTGTATAGCTGCAATTGCAAAGTTTCATTTTTTGTTCCTTGGTTTTTGCCCACGCACCTTCCATTCCCTCCTATCTCCCTCTCTCGCACGCAGCACTGAACCAGATATTTTTTTCTTGTTCCTCGGTTTTTACAAAATTATTGGGTTGCTACCGTTATTAGTAGTAGTCAAACCCTGCCCACCATGCACCCATCCACTCCTTTTCTCTCCTTACTAGACGCTACCAAAGCTACCTTCCTCTCCTTCCTTTTCATTTCTATATTTATACTACATCAAATCTGTTCTGGTCTTGCAGCAATGTGTTCTAGTTCTTCATCTTAACCAGCAACCATGCAATCAAGAACCAGAGAGTAAATAGGTGTACGTTGGAACAATGCCAGAGTGCTATTGGATAATCTTTGACAATGGAAAAAAAAAAATTTAGTGATGAAAAATTCTATTTCTCTTAAATAGAATTTTCATGATTTATTCTCACTTGGTTTTAATTACTTCTCTTGCTTGCCAAAGATGCCATAAGTGGTTTGATAAATATTTTGAGTACAACTGTACAAGTCCACACTCACTCCTCACGACCTCACTGCATGTTGCTAATACACTGGATTGTGGCTGTGAGGAGCGTTCTATGAGATGTGGCCATTAGATTATATTTGCTAATTAAATTAATACTAAAAAATTGTAGAAAATAATCCAGTGCAATGTTTTTTAGTATAAATAAACTCCCAACTTGTCATTTTTTTTCATATTTAATACTTTTCAGACCAAAGACATCTTATCTTATCTTTCTCAGCCCAAGCATCAACCATTGGTACTCTACTCATTCTCTACCTCCTCTTAGGAACACTTTCTCTCCCTCTCAATTTAATTTCATTAATTAATTAAGTAATTATTTTATACAACTCAGTTAAAATAAATACTTAATTAAATCACTTAATCAACTAAGTTTAGATTAATTAATTGATTTAACTAATTAATTTTTTAGTATTAATGTAATTATTTAAATTAAATTAGTTACTTTAACACATTTTAAAGACATAAAGAATGGGGGAGAGAAAAGGAAAGAGACGGTTTTCTATGGACCCAAAATCATAAGAGGGAGGGGGCTCCCTTTCTCCTAGCTACTTCTTTTAAGATTTAGGGTATAGGGTTCAGTACACTCCCGCTCCCATTTTGTTAAAAGATCGTTACATATAATTTAATGTTTCATCAAATGTTGCAAGCATTATCTTATTTATATATAATTTTATATTATAAATATATAGTCATATTTATATGATTTATTTGTGTTTACTTATTAATTATTAAACATGATTAATTGACTTATTATAATTGCATCAAATGAAATTACTCATTCTTTTCTCTCACCTTTTTAAGCACATAGTTTTTCCCTGCAACGCAAGGGCCCCTCCCCTAGTATATATATTAAAACAAGGAAGTCTAGAAATTTTCCCCTTTTTGAATTTTTTATTTTTTTAATTTCATGTCATTTTTTAAACAACCAATGAGATGTACATTTCCAAAAACCTAAATAATCTCTTCTCCTAAAATTACTCCTAAACTACCTCCCCCATTATCCCCCACTTTTTTCAAAATTATCTCTAATTCTTATTTATCTTTTAAATTATCTCTAATTCTTATTTATCTTCTAAATTATCTTTAATTTCTATTTATCTCTAATTTATCTCTAATTCTTATTTAACAATTATTTAAATATTCTAACAAAATTATATAATAACTTTAAAATATGTATTAAAAACACAAAAAATAATTTTATCTTTTTACAAAATATATCATGAAATAATGTACTAATAATTTAAATTATGTTTTTTTGGATTATCGATTTAAATGTTTTTTAAATATTTAAAAATATGTAATAGCTTTAAATAATAAAAAAAATTAAGTATTTTATAGATTATTTAAATATTTAAATAACTAAATATTTATTATAACTAATCCAACTTGATTGCATACTAGAAAACCAACCAACTCGGGTCGATTTAATCATGTTGGTCGGTTTCATCAGTTTGATCAATCTAACTGAAATTAATTATTGTTATTTTTGTATTATAAAAATTTTATTAAATGTATTATGTAAAATATGAATAATTATTAATTATTTAAAAGTTGAAAATATAAAACAATTCTATACTCTTATGTGTTTCTATTAGGGTTATTTATTAGAACACACTTTTAAAGATTGCTATTTTCCCCATCCCCAACGGGGATCCGACTTCCCTGACCTAATGGGGTTGGGGATGGGGATTGTTTTGGTGAGGTGGGTCGGGGATGTGGATTAATAGGAATCCCCAGTCGAGGTCGTGGTCGGGATGGGGATTGAGGTATATTATTAAATATATATTTAATATATTAAATATACTAATATAAATATACTATTATATTATTTATATTATATATATCAAAACATATTTAAAACATTATTTATAATTTAAAATTTTTATTTATTTAAAAAAATACTATTACCTGAAAAACATTTTGGGGATTTGGGCCCCCGTAGGGAACCCATCTCCGTTGAGGATCAAGGAAGGGGGTTAATTTTGGAATTTGTTTTGCCATTAGGCCCATGATGTTTTATTCCCAAAATACCCCTAATGTTTTTTTTGTATAAAAAACAAATTTTATCGAATATAGCCAATGGAGTGGTTGCCCATGTCTTAATAGGAATCCCCAGTCGAGGTTGGGGTCGGGGATGGGGATTGAGGTCCCCTCCCCACATTGACCCCGACCTAGATTATATATATATATATATAATATATATATCTGGTTCAGGGATGGGGAATATGATTCCCACCCCGTTGCCATTCCTGTACACCTTATAGTTTTACATATTTACTTAAACCTACCTTATAGCTTTCATTTTACTAAAACATCCCATATATTTTATAACTTATTTACTTAATCAACATTTCATTAAGGAGTGTTTGTTTTGCCATTAGGCCCATGATGTTTTATTTCAAAAATACCCCTAACACTTTTTTTGTATGAAAAACAAAATTGACCAAATATAGTCAATGGAGTGGTTGCCCGTGTCTTATTAAGGGCAAAAATGGTATTTTTATTTTTATTTATTTTTATTAAATTTATTTAAATGAACATTAGGGTCAACACTGTCATTTCCACTATCATCTAATGGAAGATTGATTAAATCCATTGCAAATTGTAAATGGTGTTTTAGTAAAATGCTAACTATAGGATAGATTTTAGTAAATCCATGAAACTATAAGGCGTATTTTAGTATATGATCCTTTCTATTATTTAGCTCTCTTAATAAGTCTTGTGCATCGCACGGGTCCCGCTAGTAATAGTTATAGTTGCTCCATATTCAGTACAGCGTGGTAGAAGATAAGTATAACCTTTGCATAGACATGGGTGAAGAAAAAGGTTGAGATTACAACAGTGGACATTTGTTACTACTCACTTGAGTTGACATGGAATTCTTCTTTTAGGAGATTGCAATTTACAACAATAAGGATCTAATATATTAGCACATATATAAAATATTAGACACTTAAGCTGTGTTTGGTTGCAATGCAAATAAATCTGTACTGATGCAAAACTATGGCAGTGCAAATGATTTGAATATAAATTTTAACTTATTTTTGTTCCAAATTTTAGATTATTTTGTTTTATTACAGTACAAATGAAGTAAATTAAGACATGAAGCAGAATAAAGTAAAACCCAAAACAAAATTAATCAAGAATTTGTATTCTTTTTTCATTTGCACTCTCAGCATTTGTACTAGTGCAAAAAAAAATTGCACCGCAACCAAACGCAGCCTTAGACATAAAAGGAAATTAGTTTTTGCCTTGATCATCGGTAATATCTTGGGTTAACAAGCAAGAGAACATGGGTTGGAGACTGAAAAGTTCCAATTTTGTACAAAAATGCTGTAGGTCCTTGTGTATCCAGTCTACCCCTCCCAAAGGCCCTAAATAACCAGACCAGGCCCTGTTTTAATTAGTTTGCAATATTCAAGTAAATGCAAAATTAGATGAATTGAGGGTCATATAATCTTAAGAGGTTACTGTAGTAATTGAAAAGAAGCTTTCCTGTTTTTGGGTACTAAAGTCAGTTTAAATGTTTTACTCAAATCATTATTATCACATTAACTTTGAGGTCAAAATATTATTATCACATTAAATATGATAACAATATTTATAGAGTAAACAAAAGACGGTACTCCCAACCCGTGGATGTAAAGCTATCTTTCTTTCGTCTTTTCTTTTTCCATTTCATTATCAGTATTTTCATCTTTCTTTATTGTTCCCTACATTCTATTCAGGAGATTAGTTACTGTAATGATAAAAATTCTTTAAATTAGCATGTAAAATGTTGTGTTTTTTTTTTCTAAACAAAAAGCGACATATAATCCTTCATTTATTTATTATGGCTTTTCAGTAACTCCTTTGTATTTTGTGAAAATAATTCCTTTGGATATTTTTAA